GGCCTACTTAGGAAGCTCTATTTGTTTAGGTAACTAAGACTTAAGAATGTATGACATATTATGCATTTTTTTTAATCAGAATTTTAAACTATTTAACCGCGTAAAAATCCAATATGGCGTCTATAAGAAAAAACAAAGTTGATCATTGGGGACAAGAAAGAAAACATCATATTGGAACTCAAATTATGTCAACTTGTAACGAAGAAAAATTGGGATGCTGGCGTACTTTTTATTTTGAAATCCCATCTCAAATAAAGACAGGAAAAATAAAAACTATTTTCTGCTGCCGACTGATCGATGACATTTCTTTAACGCTTTCGCATCAACGGGCGGTCGGTGATCTCCTCTCTTCTGCCGCTATGTCTGAAGACATTGATCTTTAGAGCTCTTCCCCATGAATCCGCCGCTCGTTGAGCCTGCCAGACGGACCTTCCAGGCTTTGCCTCCTATCTTAACTGTATCTAACTTCGTACATTGAGTACTGGCCGGTACTTTCGCTCATACGTTCATAGGATGTCGTGGTTGTAGAATAGTCTCCCAGGCGAGAAAGGAAGCTGAAATTCGGAGTGATGAAATTAATGTATAAATACTACATAAAACTGAAGCTGGCAGCTGGGCACCATTTTGGTACATTTTGTTAAGTGGAATGAGGGTCACGTGACACCTCATTTTAAAGAGCTCCTTTTGAGTACCTTGTAACATGCAAGTTAAAAAATCGCTACCTTCCAAAATGGCAGACTGTCAAAGTCGAGCGTTCTATTACATTAAATTTCCTACAACTCAATAACCAATCATCAGAGTGCTACGTAATATCAGTCTTTTTCATTTGTAAGGGTCTACCTGAAAGTGCAACAAAATCTGAGTTTTTTTTTTAATTTACAAAACTGGACAATTTTTTCGAAATGGATTGTCAAGGTTTATCACATATTCGGGTTAGACTCTCCCAGGAGAAGGAGATTTCTGTAAGTTTTGATCAGTTATAAATGGTCGAATGTTCAAAAACGCTCAACTTTGACTGTCGGTACGCCAAACGATTTTATATTCAAGGATTATGAAGCATTCATCAAGATATACCAAATGAGGTATCACGTGAGTCCCCATTCGATTTGAAAAAATGTTCCAGTATGGCGGCTGGGTAACTGTCAGTTTTGCGCTAAAATATAGTATTGATGCATCAACTTTATCACCCTAAATTTTAGCTTGCTGACTCGGTCCGTTCAAAAAAAGAGTAGAGGGCGTCTCATTCTGGATTCTGGATAATAAAACTCAAACATCAGGGACTTGATTTTGTTTTGTGTTTCAATATACCCTATACTGCTAGTAATGTTAGCAAAGGTTAAGTGTCTACCGTTGACCTTCTCTCGCCGACGGCGCGTGACGTCACACTCAGTTGGCGTTGGAAACAAAAGCCGTCTACTGCTCCCACATTTCGCCGTGCACGGCCCGCTATGTTATTAAACATGCATTAGCGGGCGGTGGTGGCGAACGTGCAACCCAACGCCGTTTAGCTCATTTTTTACCCTCAAATCTCGTCGGCACGCCCACGATTGACCCCACGTAATTTTATTTACGGAACTAATGACTTGCCACCGTTATTTCCGTCAATAACCTTCGTGATAGACTTTCGTGTATGTTTTTGATGTACATTCACAAGGTACAAATACGGCGCATTCAGGATTAAATGCTTACGAAATTTTTCCTTTGAGCCTGCTTAACGGACTGACTAGACTACTTCTTCTCATTCATTCATGTGTCAATCATAACATTCTGTTGCAAAAACTCTCTACATCTGGTGTGATTGGCGTACCTCATACATGCCTTAACTCATACCTTATAGATAGGAAACAATATGTTTCTCTACTACATAAAGTTCAGAAATGTTGATACTGAGGTTCCTCAAGGTTCCATTTTAGGGTCTATCTTGTACATCATCATTATCGATGAGATTGAGTCAGTGTCGGAGGATGTGCGATAAGTTAAACTTCAGAGTACATTGCAACTACCTGGTTTCGCAATTTAACTCGCTCTTACGTGTTTAAAAACTTAAGTTTAGCTCTCCCTGGAAATGAGTTGGTCGGGACATACTAGGGGCTTGTGGAGTCCAGACATAGATATGGTATTTGATTTTTGGGCTGCTCCGCTGCGTCGCAACATGTCTTTATTGATCAAAAGCAAATTGTTAGATAAATGGCACATATTAATAACACCCACAGTTATAAAGAAGTTTAAAAAAAAAGGATACAATTCTGACGGTACCTGCTCTGGCGATTCACAAGCCGACGTTATTCGTATTCGGGACCAAAACCAAATTTACCCTCAACAAAGACATACGCACAGTTACCACTAGGCAGAGTAATGATACACGCCAACTTTTCTAAATTTAAAATAGAAAAAAAGTCGCCAAATATACTTGGTCCCAAAATCCTTAACGTGCTTCCATAAAATATACAAGGAATAGCAAGTCAAAATCAATTTAAGTGTAGTTTGAAAACTTTTCTACTACATAAATGTTTATATAATGTCTGTGAGTTTATTACTATAAAAATGTTGTTCATTATCTCGTTTTATTTATCGTCTTGTTATGTCTCTGTATATAGCTGCTGTATTGACAATTCTTATACAAAATTTGTTTGTCCAAGAAAAATAAATTATTATTCACAGGATGTACAGAATACGAGTATGGAACACTAACCACAATTGGTTTTTAATCGATCTTAGCTGGTTCAAAGCTCTGCTTATCTTCTTACAGCTTTGTAGCAGGGGTCATTACTGGATAACAAAATGTCGCTATGTTCTAGTACAATACATACACCATTTTATTGAATTCGTTCCAAGCAGTACACAATCTATGCACTTTCACCTAAATTAAAATTCAAGTGGTACCTTCATTGTATTATACAGGGTGGCGCATCGAAAACGAAACAGACGCATTTACTGGCAGCTCAGTTTTATTTTGGAAAAACGCTCAGACCCGTCGATTTTGTTTTCGAGGGGGACACAAGTTTGGCAAAAAATCACGTTTACACGTACAGCCCCCTGGGCGGGGGTGACACCAACCCTAAAATCTTAAATGGAAAGGGGGGTCGAGTGATATCTTATTTTAAAGGTCTTTCAATTCTCTTTATAATGATGTAAAATACATGAGCTTCAGTTCAGTAGTTTTGAAGATTTATTGATTTAAAGCTTGAAGTAGACTTTATAAGGTACATCAGATTAGTTTGTACTACTTTCAGAAGAAATTTGACTAAACGAATTTACTTAATAAGTAAATGCTTTTCTTCACTACGCCCATGGTTTGTTTATCATTTTTGTTGAAAATAGCTATTGGAGCTTTTTTTTGTGGCAAACGTTATTTCTTGAAGAAAGATAAGGAAATATCTCGTACTTATTGTAAATAGGAATTTAGTACATAGTTTGCGATTGATTTGACCAAACTTTGTTGCTAAAATAACTTGTAACGCTTTATTACATAAATTAGCCATGGTATATTCCACAGCAGAAAGAGTTGAAATTATCGAAATATTGTCGGAAATAATCAGTGCGCTAATAGAACAGCAGAAATATTTAATGAGCGACATGAGAACAGTAACGTGCATCGAAAATATGTTCTAGAACTTGTAGCTAAATTTCGGGAAACTGGGTCAGTCGCCAATAAAAAACGCAACATTGAAAATCCCATAAGGAACGAAGCAATAGAAGTAAGGGTTTTAGGGCAAGTTTATGTAGATCCTACGTTAAGTACCCGCAAATTGGAGACAGTGTATGATGTTAGTCGACGTACTGTCCAACGGATTCTAAAGGCCCATAGTTTTCATCCGTATATAATTCACCTAGTACAAGAACCTCATGAAGACGATTTTGGTCGGCGATTACAATTTTGTGAAGATATGAGTGAACGAATTATAAACGATGAACATTTTCTATTCAACACTTGCTTTTACGACGAATGTTCCTTTTTCTTAAATGGCGTAGTAAATCGTCGTAACTGCCGATATTGGTCCGATTCTAATCCCAGAATTTATCATGAGGTTCATACACAGCAGCCACAAAAATTAAATGTTTGGGCTGGTATTTTTGGCGATCATTTGGTTTGTCCCTTTTTCTTACCTGGAAATTTGACCTGTGAAATGTATTTGGAATTACTGGAAGACGCCATAGATCCTGCATTAACAGCCATAGATCCTGCATTAACAGCCGTAATTGAAAATCAGAATGATCGACGGTACATTGCGAATAGGTTGATGTTCCAACAGGATGGTGCCCTACCACATTACGTATTACGTGTTCGATAATATTTAGATCAGACGTTTCCAGATCGATGGATTGGTAGAAGAGGTGCCATTGAATGGCCCCCAAGATCGCCAGATTTATCACCCTTGGATTTCTTTATGTGGGTTCATTTAAAAAGCAAAATATCTGCTATTCAGCCAACATCATTAGAAGACCTGCGACAAAGAATTGTGAATGAGTACCTTCAAATAACTCCACAAATATTGTAAAATGTGCGGCAACGTTTTGAGTAAAATCTTTATTATTGCATGGAGAGTCATGGTGGCCAGTTTCAACATTTACTTGTGTAACGGGTCAATTCATTGTTGATTTTTAAATTGCTTTGCTGCCAAATGTATCGATCTCCACTAATGATGATGTATTAGTTTTATTTAAGCTTTAAATCAATGAATATTCAAAACTACAGAACTGAAGTACATAAATTTTATATCATTATAAAGGGAATTGAAAGCTTTAAAATAAGGTATCACTCGACCCCCTTTTCCATTTAAGATTTTGGGGGCGGTGTCACCCCGCTTAGGAGGCTGCACGTGCTAACGTGATTTTTTGCCAAACTTGTGTCCCCCTCGAAAACAAAATCGACGGGTCCGAGCGTTTTTAAAAAAACACTGAGCCGCCAGTAAATGCATTTGTTTCGTTTTCGATGCGCCACCCTGTATATGTATACACATTCACCAAAAATGCAATTACTGTTCTCGTATCCGTATCCGATGCTCCTTTATATTCAATTGTTTCTTACAGGTTCAGGTCAAATCCAGTTATGGCAGTTCCTTCTGGAGCTGTTAAGCGACTCATCAAATGCTGCTTGCATCACGTGGGAAGGTACAAATGGAGAATTCAAGTTGACGGATCCGGATGAAGTAGCTAGAAGGTGGGGAGAGAGGAAATCGAAGCCTAACATGAATTACGACAAATTATCTAGGGCGTTAAGGTAAGTAAACTTTCACAGAGATTATTTGAAATTAGACGGCACAAGGACTATTACCAGAATCGACCACTACGAGAGTAAAAACAACAAGCTATCTGTGGCCGATAGATGGCGTCAATTCTGGTGCCATTTAACTAACTAGTTGTTTCCCCTCTCGCAGTGATCGGTTCTGGTGATACTCAGCGTTCGTTTGTTGTCCTACATGAGACCAAGCCTCGCTGAGGAATTGCCATATAGCGCAAAGGAGCTGTCCATCGATGACCGTCTGTGGTCAGATGAACGAAAGCTATATTACTAGAGATTATTTTGTTAGAACAACAGGTCAATACCGCATGACTGGAGATGTAGATAGCTACGCTACGTTTATTTTCGATCACTGCATCTTTTAGATATCCTATGTTTTGAACAATTTTCTGGATTAGCAACGATTAGGCAATCCAGTTCTTCCAACATATAAAAAATACGACTGTTACACCTTTTATCTACGACTGGGCGATAAGGTATGCTTTGTGGATAGGCCTCCCTCTTAACACCCTATATACATAAGTACCTATTTCAACGCAATTACGAGTTTCATGTGTATTTCTGATGGGGATTTTATATGAAACAGTTAACATCTGTGCTTGTATTTTTAGCAAGTGACATATTTTAGAACTGCAGGCCTGTGTATGAATAGAAGCAATAACAAACTCAATCATTGCAGAGCGAATGCAACATTTGACGGATAACAATCAAATCTCTGCACGAAAAAGATCAAAAAAGCGAAATAGCGCAGCCAATTAGAGGGCAGACCGGGCACACAATCCCGAAAATAATTTCCCATCATCCAGACAATCACGCTGGAGAAATGGCAAAAAATCGTTCGGTAAACGCATTAGGCCCGATCGGTCGCTAATTGCTACAAATGAACAGAGCAATGTGATTGCCCGCCCCAGCGTTAACGACAGTGGCTTGCTTAGAACCTTCGGGGGAGGGGCACATTGTTACGTCGAAATACTCGTACAGTGTGTCTATTTCTTAATTAACACAGCTAAAAATCAAGATTTGATCTTATACATGAAAGATAATGTAACCCCTACTGAGCGAGGGCCGTGGCAAATGCTTGTTCCGGAAGTTGTTGTATCCAGTATACAACTTCTTCCCGTCCAAGTGATTGTGCACGCGTTAAGGAATACCTCAGTACCGATTGCCGGGTGGCGGTACAAGTCCGCCAACGGGCCACTTTAGGTCTATTTAACATCACTAACACGTAAAAAGAAGGTGGTAGACAAGGACCAGTCGACCGAGGCAGTACCACCCGCTAGCTTTTCCCAGGGTGTCTTATAAATGTCCGCATGTTTCCACACCTAAGCTATGCAGTCGGTTATCTACCAAAACAAAGAAATTAATGATGATGGATCCCTCGAGCACTAAAAACTCCGGACGTAAACTCACTCCACTCTCGGAATGTCCGGGTGGAGGGTGGGCTCGAGGGAACAACATCGAAGATAAAATTTGTTTTTCGAACATCTGCGGGATCAACAGCAACATTGATGCTGTTCATCACTACCTGCAATCCAATCGTCCCGCCGTGCTTTTCTTGGCGGAGACAAAAATCTCAGAGACTGCACCGATTAACCATCTCAACTTCCCAAACTACGAGGTGCACTCCAATCTGAGAAAGAACGGGGGAGTTGTGGCTTTTGTCCGCAGCAGTCTTTCCTGCTCCAGGGATCTTTCTTTGGAATCAGACCGGAAGGACATTCTGTGGCTTCGCCTCAGCTCCAAAGCATCACCCAAATTTATTTGCTGCCTTTATCGCTCTCCCTCGAACCATAACTGGGATGACCTACTCGAATACCTCGCCGTCCAGATCGACTTCCTGAACATCAATCACCCCGGTTCAGAGGTAGTTCTTCTCGGTGATTTCAATGCCCATAATGAGCTTTGGTTGGGCTCAAATAAGACCGATGCAGCAGGTCGTGCAGTCGAAGCGTTCGCTCTTACTCAAGGGCTGACCCAGCTGGTCACGAGCCCTACTTTTTTCCCCCTCGTCCCGTCACACGTCAGTAGCCTGCTGGATCTCTTTCTGACCACGCATCCTGCCCCTTACAGCACTGCTGTCCTGTCCCCCCTGGGTAACTCAGATCACGGTGTCGTGGAGGTTAGGTTTCGGTCAGAAGCCGTTGTGGCAGCAGAAACTCGCACAGGCCGCAAAACTTGGCATTACGGACATGCCGACTGGGAGGGGCTCAGAGACTTCTTCTCTAGCTTTCCTTGGAGAGATGTCTGTTTCACTGACGCGGATGCGTCGACTGTCTGTTCTTCAATAACCGAAATTATCCACGTCGGAATGGAGGAATACATCCCTCACACAGTGAAAGTTCCTAAACCAGGGTCCAACGGCTGGTTCAACAAATCGTGTGACACTGCTCGCCAGCAGAAGATCAAGGCCCACAGAACCTACTTACAAAACCCCACTGTAGAGAACAGACAAGCCGACGTCGAGTCCAGAAGCAAATATAGAGAAGCGGTTCGCAATGCCAAAAACCAGCATGATATAAAAGTTAGGCACAGGGTAATGTCGCAGCGCAATGGCAGTCGGTCTTTCTGGACGCTGGCCAAGTAGATTGAAAAGAACTTCTCACACAGTAGCCTTCCACCACTTACGTGTTAGGATGGAACTATTGTATTCGACTCGAAGGCCAAGGCGGAAGTGCTAGCCAAGATCTTTGCTGCCAACTCCACCATGGACGTCCCCACCAACGCCCAAGTGCCGTCAATTCAAAGGGTTCCCCACACTATGCGGGAGGTAACATTTAGGACCGTAAGACGAGTGCTCTTGTCGCTCAACATCAACAAAGCTTCTGGTCCGGACTTGATTCCTGCCATTGTACTGAAGAGATGTGCAGCGGAGCTTGCTCCAGTTCTTTCGCGTCTCTTCCAGATATCTTATGAATCCGGCACCTTCCCAGAAAACTGGAAATTTGCTCATGTACAGCCCATCCCAAAAAAAGGATCTAAAACCGACCCTTACAACTATAGGCCTATAGCTCTGCTTTCTGTCATAAGTAAAGTGATGGAGAGGTGCATAAATCGCGAGCTTCTGGACTACCTCGAACGTCACAGCTTGATTAGCGACAGGCAGTACGGTTTCCGGCACCAACGATCCACAGGAGACCTCCTAGCTTACGTCACGCAACTGTGGAGTAAACTCATCCAGTCTCATGGTGAGGCTCATGTCGTTGCTCTTGACATCACGAAGGCGTTCGATCAGCTGTGGCACGCTGCCCTCTTAAGCAAACTTCCATCCTATGGCCTCCCAGAAAAGCTTTGCAGCTGGGTGGCTGACTTTATCTCTGGCCGCAAGATATCCGTCGTAATTGACGGATTCTCCTCTTCATCCCACAACGTCAACGCGGGTGTTCCCCAGGGATCGGTCTTGGCTCCAACACTGTTTCTCTTACATATCAACGACCTCCTTTCCTGCACGATCAACCCAATCCACAGCTTCGCTGATGACAGCACTCTACATGCAGGAATTCAGAGTGACAAGCCGATCTCTGCCGCTGAGCTGGAAAAAAGAAGACCAGCGACGACTTCTTCTCTGACAAGAGACCTGGAGGCTATCACTGCTTGGGGACGCAACAATATTGTACAGTTCAATGCTTCCAAAACACAGTACTGTACTTTGACGAACAAAAAGCGTCCTAGCGCTCATACAGTTTCGATGGACGGTCGAGTTCTACCAAAGAGCCATTCATTTCGGCTGGTCGGAGTCCAGATCACCGAGGACCTGATCTGGCACGAACACATCTCTTCAATAGCTGCAGCTGCTGGGAAAAAGCTAGGCTATTTGTTTAGGGCTGAGAAGTACTTTTCTCCGCATGACATTCTCACTCTATACAAGGCCCAGATAAGGCCTAGCCTCGAGTATTGCTCACACATTTGGGGTGCTGCCGCCCCGACTACATTGTCTATGCTCGATGCTGTCCAGAGGAGGGCGGTCCGACTGATCGATGACTCTTCTCTAACAGACAGTCTCGGGACTCTCTCGCACCGGCGGGCTGTCGGCGATCTAGCTCTTTTCTATCGCTACACCAACGGGCTTTGCTCCTCAGAGCTCTCTTCCATGATGCCGCCGCGCGATGTGCCTGCCAGACAGACCCGCCTGACTTCGGCGTCCCATCCTAACCGTGTCAAACTTCGTACATCCAGAACTGGCCGATACGACCGCTTCTTTGTCCCGAGGGTGTCTAGATTGTGGAACAATCTACGGGAGGAAGCCTTTCCCAGTTCTACTAACCTTAGGCAGTTCAAAAATCGTATCAACAAAATTTCTTTGGGATCATCATAGCAGCCGCGGTGTTCCGGCATTTAGGCTTCTGCCTGCGCGGCTGTTTCGATATAAAAAAAAAAAGATTTAGTAGTTCAGTATTCCTCTAGTTCAGACTTGTTCACTCATACGCATATATTCAACCCTACAATAAAAAAAGCTTTTACAAGAAAATTTATGCTTGATCCCAGCATATCTAAAGTAGTGTCCATTACCAAGAAACAGCCTATCTGCATGCAATCGAACCAATTTTCGAAGCACTTATTCCACTCGTTTGCTGGCAGAACCAAAACGGCATTTTTGAATGCGCCAACTGCTTCTTCTGGTGACTGGAACCTTTGACCACGCAGTCTGTTTTTGATTTTCGGGAAAGTAATGAAATCGTTAGGACTTAGATCGAGACTATATGGAGGATGGTCCAATAATTCCACGTTTTCTTTGTTAAATACTGCATTGTTCTTTGAACTGTGTGCGAGCTTGCATTCTCTTGGTGGAGGATGATTCTTCTTTCGGGGTTGACTTTTACAAGCTCGGTGATGACTGTTGGCAAACAAATGGTGGAATACCAATCCGCAGTTCTTTGTTCATTAAGAGGAATTGTTGCAATATGACCCGCTTTTGACACAAATGTCGCGACCATCTTTTTCGAAACACTTCGAGAACGGATGACTTTTGTTGGCTTTTCTTCACCTTGGAACACCCAAACAGCCGACTGTCGTTTATTTTCTGGTTCATAACAGTAAATCCACGATTCATCACCACTAACAATGCTGTACACATTTTTTGTGCTTCCGGAATTGAAACGGTCAAGCGTTTTTTGACACCAATTAACCCTGGCTGCTTTCTGCTCGTCATTCAACAGGTGGGGTATCCAACGAGAAACTAATTTTCTTACTCCTAATTCTTCATGTAAAATTTTTTGAATTGAGGCCTTTGAGATCTTCAAGGACGCCTTAATCTCCCGATATGTCATATGTCTATCTTCAATGATGAGTTTGCACACAGCATCGACGTTTTCCTGGGTGACTTCCGTTTTTGGTGCACCCCCCCTGGGATCGTCGCTAAGACTCACCCGTCCACGTTTGAATTCACCATACCAACGGGAAATCGTCGACTGATGTGGCGCTTCGTTGAGGAAAACAGACAGTAACTCAACAAGGCATTCTTGTTGCGATAATTGTCTCCATGTCCATTTTTCTAATGACTTGGTGACACTTAAAAATTCACTGTAGTGAGAACACTGCAGGTATTGTTGTGAAACTTTGAATTTAAGGTTACTAAAGAGTGAGGTTAAGATTAAGTACTGACGTTCGATCCGCGCGGCCTACTATGTTTCTATATGCAAAACTTAAAAGGCATCCCTCGTATTTAATCAATACTAAATACTCAGAGAACACCGCATTTGAAAGGTTACCGTATTCACTACAGTTGAAGGATTAATGACAGCTAAAAACCGCAAAAGATAGCAAAGAACAAGCAAAACTTTTTTAAATCTGCGCTTCTACCAAAAGTATCTAGATGCAAAATGGAAATCTTGAGGTTGCAGCCGAAACGCAATCGGAATTCAGAAGGAAAAAAGAAGTTTATTCTGTGTTCCAGTCAAGCTTTCGGAAATTATTTATTTTCTCCTTCAGAAATGCCACATAAATATTGAATGAAGTATAATATTCATTGCAATACTAATAAAAAACCACTAACAACATTGAAATCCTGTTTCAGAACAAATAATCTCAAAAAACGGAGAAAAACCTGAGATAATATGACCACTGATAACATTCATTAATTAATAATTATTTTAAGGTTTATTTATTAATTAATAACGGTAATAAATTACGGTTTAATTATGGTTCGATGTCCCCTCCTTTCCTCTATATTCCTCTATAGGTACTTACGGGTGTTTAGGTCTTCCTGGTGGTTTAGGCTTAGAAAATATATAGTCATAATAGTTCACCAAAAATTAGCGGATTCGCCAATAATGTAACCAATATTTTGTATATGTAATTCGATACGGGAGGCCGATCCTCCAAGCCCACCCGTTATGTACGGCCCAGCGTTAGCGTTGTCCACCCCCAGTGGACCAAAGAGATTGTTAGGGGGTGGTTACCGGTGAGATACGAACACATTCGCTTGGACGATTGCATTATGACAAATGCCATCTGCTCCGTACAGCGGACCAACTGTCAATTTTTTATTGAGCAAATAGTACAGATAATGATGAATTGAAATAGTTTTAGGTGGCTCTGGAATGGACTGTGGATTCAAAGTAGAAGCTTTTGTTTTGCCACATAACATCACATAGGCCAGGTTATGATAAAACCTTGGGCACAAGCTTTGTGTTTGGTTTAACTTTTAGTATAATAATTTATAATACATGGGAAGATTCCCGTATTTTGCTTAAAAACCACGCAAAATAGGCGAGGTCCGAAAAACGTACAATATTTTTTAAAATTGAAAGAATAAACCAAGTTTTTGCTGGACATAGACATGGAAACTTTACATTTTGCAGGATTTTTAGGACTTCTACTGAAACCCAAAAATCGTCAAAAAGATGTGAAATTCAAGATCCTCCCTTTTCCATGGAGCATATCTAATATTTTCAGGAGCGTATAATATAGGTAGCATATCAAATATTTGTTTGATAAAAACTGACATTCCTTATGAAATCAACTATACGACTACCTGCTGTCAAACTCTTTCAAAACAGCTCTTTATTCTGAATGGATTCATTTGCACAAAAAATAAGAAAGTTAGAATATCTAGGACACAAATCATGAGTCGAGAAAAATCACAGGCAAAAGGGACACAGGGAGAAGAAAAATTTAATCGCTAAGAGTGATGGCTTGGGTGTAGTTCGGTTGAATCTTTCAGATGCCCAGCTAACAAGGGTACAGTTGCCCTGATGATCTCCAATCTCCTGTATCAGTGGTACTTGAACTGAAAGAAGGCTTGACAGAAACACATTCAGTCTTCCTTACATGCAAGCTATTACACTGGTTACAACTAAACATGACTACTACTAAATATAAACCGCAGATATGTTAGCTTAATGATTATTTGAAAATATACAGGGTGTTTCAGTTTATTGTTGCATAACTTTAAGATTCGATAGAACTTTTAAAACTAATGCATAAAGTCTATATAAACATGGGTCGAAAAATGCGTGGCTTCCGAAATACAGGGTGTTTAAATTTACTTTCTAAAACAGTTTTTTTTAAGTATTTCGAACAATATTTGATGTATAACAGTGAAAATTGGTATACAAGGGTTTTTTTGGTACGACAAAACGAACCATGGGCATAGTTTTACTGTAGCCGCTAGAGGGCGCTCTCTACTGTACCTGTAGTGTATTAAAATGAAAATTTTTTCTTAATGCAATTTTTTGCTTTTTGAATAAAAAAACTGATTCTTCGCACTTTTCAACATAAAAAAGCTGCTCTCTTGTGAGTTTTCGTTATAGTTAGCCGTTTTTGAGATATTTCGATTTTTAAGGTTCGATACATTTTTTATTATTTATGGGAAAATAATATTTTTTTTTACATTTTCGATTTGGGCATTACAAGTAATTAAGATGATCGTTTAGATTGTGTTTTTAAACACAGCAATAATTCCTAACTCCAAATAAACACAAAAAACAGAATATTAATTTGTTGAATTTTCCAATATTATTTTTAACAAATTAAATTAATTATTTACAACTAAAATGCTATTGGATAGTTAGGACAAACATACAAAATCTAAAGTAGTTGCTCGAAATGTAAACCCAATTGTTCAATACACAATTCACATCTAAGAATGATCGAACGTGGTATAGCATTATTCAAATAAGGCCTTATTTCGTCACATGCATTCCTGATTCTGTCTATTAGCATATCTCTTGTGGTTACGGGAGTCTGGTACATTTTTTCTTTTAGAAATCCCCACACAAAGAAATCTAATGGATTTAGGTCAAGGGATCGTGGAGGCCAGGAGACTGGTCCTCCACGGCCGATCCATCATTCTGGATAATTTTCGTCCAGCCAGTTTCTAACTATTCTCGAATAATGAGCTGGACAACCATCAAGCTGGAAGCAGGCCAATCTTCTTAAATCTAACATAACATCATCCCACATTTTTGCATGTTCAGCCTTTAAAAATTCCAAGAAGGTCGCTGCATTTAACCTTGCAGACAAAAGGTAGGTTCCAACTAGTCGATTACGGTAGATACCAATCCACACGTTCACACTAAATTCATGCTGAAAATTTCTTTCCCGAACTGCATGCGGATTTTCATGCGACCAAATATGTTGATTATTTACCACTCCACGTCTAGTGAAGCATAACTCATCGGTCCATAAAACGTTACTTAAAAACTCTCTATTATTATCAGTTCTATAAAGAATCCACTGACAAAATGTAATTCTTCGTTCTTCGTCCCCTGGCTGTAGTCCTTGCACAGGTTGCAAATGGTAAGGACGTCTATTGCCATTTCTAAGAACACGGTGAACATGGCTTGCTGAAATTCCCAAGGCACCAGAAACTCTCCTAACACTTGTGGTCGGATCTCTATCAAACTCACGCAGAATCATACGGGTAAATCTGCGCTGACGAACATTTATGTTTTGATACCTTTGGAGATTTCCAAAACCATTTTCAATTATTTGGCGATGCACTCTTACAAATACTGAGCGAGTTGGATGTCGTCTGTTTGGAAATCTTCGAGCGTATTCTCTGGCTGCTTCTGCTGCGTTTCCATTTACAAAGCGATACACAAAATGAATATCCGCTAACTCTTGATTGGAGAAAAAAAATGGCATTTTTATAAAACTTACAAAAAAAACAGGTAAAAGAAACTAAATTTCGTGCATTCACAATTGCAAAAAAACGTGTCAGGTTTCAACAGACAACAAAACTAACTGTCAACTAATTGACGTTTAACCTTATTCTGCTTTCAATTTCAAAAATATTTGCAGGCACAGCCTACTTCTAAAAATTATCGAGATACTGACTTTTTAACGTTATTTTATCATAAATAATTAAAAATGCATCGAACCTTAAAAATCGAAATATCTCAAAAACGGCTAACTATAACGAAAACTCACAGGAGAGCTTTTTATGTTGAAAAGTGCGAAGAATCAGTTTTTTTATTCAAAAAGCAAAAAATTGCACTAAGAAAAAATTTTCGGTCATTTTAATACACTACAGGTACAGTAGAGAGCGCCCGCTAGCGGCTACAGTAAAACTATGCCCATCGTTCGTTTTGTCGTACCAAAAAACCCTTGTATACCAATTTTCACTATTATACATCAAATATTTCGGAAGCCACGCATTGTTCGACCGATGTTTATATAGACTTTATGCATTAATTTTAAAAGTTCTATCAAATCTTAAAGTTATGCAACAATAAACTGAAACACCCTGTATATCTATTTCTCCAACCAGAACGTGCTATCTTCTTTCCAGGTACTACTACGATAAGAACATAATGACAAAAGTCCACGGGAAGCGGTACGCGTACAAGTTCGACTTCCAAGGTCTGGCAGCTGCGACGCAACCGGCCGCAGCTGATCCAGCGGGCAGCTACAAGTACCAGAGCGAGCTTTTTATGAGCAGCTACCACCACGGAGCAGCTACGGCGGCCAAGCTGAGCGGCTTCATGGGCGCGCATACGGGGATACCTAGCTCGGCAGGTGAGTAAAAAACTGTCATAGATATCTCGTAAATATAATATTGGTGGAAAATCAGTATACCGAAAAAAATATCTCCATCTGACCTAAGTAAGTTAAAAGTTAACCGTAGCTGTCTTTAGTGATCCATGAATGAAGATTTTTTTAAGAGCCGCTTGACCGAAGTCCTCGATGGCACTGAAGCCTTTAGACTTCTTGTATTTTACCCCTTTAACTATCTTAAATTCTGTAATAACTTCTACTCCGTTGGTGTTTTCTCTGGGGTTCCCAAATAAGTGTTACCTCATGTATTGAGCGGCTCATACTCGTGAAGAAAGTGAAAGTGACGGTTTCTCACATTGTCTGCAGTTTACCTGTCCATTTTACAGCATTGTTTTGTGTCCTGTTAGATAGCCTGTTACCATTCGCAGTTAAATCCTGTGCATTGAGAAAAGTTTTGTTCAGAAAAAGAATCAGAAATTGCAGCATGCATCCCAACCAATACCAACAGTGCGAAGTCATTAACTGTTGGATAAAATCCATCAGGATTCTAGAGTCTAATAGGTAACACGTCACAATAAAAAGGTTCTGAGAAACTGCTATGCAACATCTGAAGCTAACACTAGACAAACAGATGACATTAAACTTGAGATTGTTTTTGCCTAGTTTCTTTTATTTTCAAGCTAATGTGTGCTACAAATCGCAAAACTAGAATGAGATGAAAAATTTCATCATTTTACAAGCTCTTATTTAACTTGACCTTATTATGCTAGTATCAGTTTCACTTTGAAACCTTTGGCTTATACATAAAGAAAAAAATTGCAAATTCAATTCAATCAAAACATGTGCTTCTTAGGAAAGGGGTGAAATACGAAGAGGATCAGGGACGTAGGATAAAACTTTTTACAAAGTAATATTATTATCATTATGAGATACTCGTATAGCGGACGGGACGCTTGAATTTTGGAAGCTGGATTTGACATCGCTGGCTTGGCTGGCTGACTGAATGGTCCACTTTAGTTAAAACGGGCTACACTGATTTGTCTTTCTGAGTGTTTTTAAGAAATTTCTTGTTGGTTTTATCCAGGTGTGTTTGCTGTGTAGCATCTCCCAACGTATGTCATCTGGAATGCAGTAGGGAAAGTGTCCACCTTCTTCAGGCACACCTTTACTTTTCTTACAGCTTAATGCTTACTATTTTATTAAGATTGGGCCCAAGGTATCGTATTTGATTTAATAATGACAGTTCGCTCCTCGTTCCCGCCAAACTAGGTCTGTTTAGGGTACGTTCGTGCTCATCCAAATACAATACACCAGGTTTTCTGCTTATTACAAGTAAGCCCCCACTAACCATAGTACTCAATGTTTTCTACTGGCAGATCAGCAACGTACAGGTTCCACAAGTACGGCTCGAGGATCAATCTCTGTGGTCTCCGTAGCGCTGGTGGTATATTTTTGTTTTGGACTTATTGTTTTTGAATTTTGATAAAATCTTTAGAGATAGTATGTTAGTATGTGTTAGTTAGTCAGTTAACCTGAGTAGTTAATTAGTCTGTAATTTAATACACATGTTCAGTTCGCGTAACAATACACCATTCCGCCATTTTGAATCAAATATGGTGGTATACAAAATGGTATAATTTTCATGGTAACCTCTTTGATGTCGGTATCAAATGAAAGGGCTTGATGAGAGAAACACAATAAGCAAAGCGACGCCATACTATATTCAATATGGTGGACGTCTGGTGCGACAATGCAATATTGTTATGACAGAGCGGTGTTTATAGGAACTATGTAATAAATCGACGCCATCCCAGAAGTATAAAACGGAATATTTCCAATCGGATTTTCTTTAGTTCATTATATTAACAGCTAAGTAACAGTTTGTTTTCAAATATATAATTTTTTTGTTAATCTTTTCATGTTAGTTTTGGCGCCTACCAAATAATTTAGTGAGACACATTTCCATAATTTTAACTTCAAATAATCAGTAATTTGTCTCCAGATACATATTCTGAGTGGTTTCATTTTTGTCTTTGAATGTGAAGTGGCAAAATATTCTGTCCCGTTTTCAGTTTATGGCTCCCAAAATACCTATCTCCTCTATCTCTCTTCACTATACGGGAACGAAAAAACTCGCCCTGTATATGGCAACACTGCTAGGATTGCTACCAGACAAATAGCAAGGATTCGGTTAACAAACTGCTGCCTCTAATGGATATTTTGTACACTGTGTGTCATTAATTGCGGCCCTCTGGGAGTGTTTATTGGCTTCTGCAGGGATTTATAGCGCTGCGCTGTCACTTTATTGGTAAATAAGGATGATGAATACGCGAGGGACAAGATTTATTGTCTGGTAGAAATGCAACTGTGTTGCCACAAAGGGTCTTGCTATACCGATATGAGCATTGAAGCGGAAATTGCATATTGTATTCGATGTAGCTTTTGGAATCGTGCAAATTGAGGATGCTTTCACTTTCTATCATGGCACTATTCTCCAGTGTTAAACTAGAATGATAAAAACTTGACAACCTGAGCTTCAAAAATTTCCAAGTTTGAATTTATGTAATATTATTTTTTTCATAAATGTGAAATTTTAATATTACTCAAGCCAAAGGTAAGAATGAACTTCCTTTTGGTACCCCTTGTAGGTACTCATTGTGATCGCTAACATTTCAGATAACCCGCCGTTTTTTGATGTCTCCAACATGGAAACCCATATCATGTCTGCCTGTCGGTCTCTCAATTGGCGTCCTTCTACTGCCATAATCTCGGAAGCGGGTTGGCCGATTTCTATCAAATTGGTAGATCTTTAAACAGTTGTATTACAGTAGGTGCTACTTTATTTTTGAGAATCAGTCCAATGACGATGGAGTTATGAGCAAAGAAAATAGTAATGTTTCAGATCGCTCGTAAACTTTGTTTTTGTATATTTCACAACTGCCTGATGATTTTTGCACATAGTCAAACATTTTTTGCAAATAATCAACGTTTTGAATAATCTCTGAACTTCGTTTTGTCCGTTTGTCAATATGTTGATCACTTCAGGGCTCGGTTAAGAAGATTTTTGAAATAGACGTATATGAATGCGTAAAAGGTGATGAGTTAATCTACTTGACAGCATTTTTGTATTTTGGCTATTAGCTCATACGAAAGTATGTGAGGAAGTATTGCACCAACGGAAAATTTCGATAGTGAGATGTTATGGAAAACCATGTCGGTCGGTTTGTCCGTTGATCTGTTTGCTAATTCTTTCTATAACTTCTAAAGTAGCACTCGGATTTGATGAAATTTTCACACATGGTTACTACTGCGCCAATAGCGAGAAATCTATGTATTTTTTCAATCCTACGGACAAACAACGAAAAAAAATAACAACTGAAACTTCGTTTTTTGACGTTTTAGAAATATTGTTAAAATATTTCCAATATCCGCGTTGAGCGTCAATGTGTTTCTGTGTTATGGACCGATTAAACGCAAGGAATGTAGATAGTGAACCAGTCATCGTTACTGTGATTAGGTCGCAACGTTGAAAAATCGATGGAAACTGGGGACAAATTGTATCAGCCTATTTAGACAACATATTACAATTAATTTCTTTTGTACACATCTTCGTAGAAATGATTTTACTCCACACGCCTAATGGCGATGAAAATTGTATTTGCGAAAATGAGATAGGTATTATGTTTTTTAATTTAACTTTTGGCTCTGGACCGCGAAAGAACCATGTCACTCATGTCCATCGGTATACTCGTATCTGTCGCCGGTCCGCTAATCTTATAACTTTGCTTTTTGACGTTCCAGAGGGGTCCTGATCATTTTCAGGAAAAAAATTGATGTTGGGGATTGTAGGGGATGGGGGAGAGTACAAGCCAATTATTTGATATTCGTACGTTTCTAACCCCGGGAACTCTATATACATATTAGACATATTTCATACATCATAGATTTCCGCGTACATTTGTCCTTAAAACTTGTATGATGGAGATGTTTCCGATATACGACTGTTCGCTTCGACTGCTGAGAAATAAAAGAATAATGATGCGTGCCAATGTTGCCAGGTCAAACAAAATTACTAGTTGTAAACTAAAAAAATGCATTTGTAACGTTTGTATACAACTTGATAATTAAATTGTTAAATAAAACACGATTCACTATACATTTCCTGCTACTGTGAAAAAGGCAGCAAAATATTACTTTTTTAGCACCTACCCAAGATACAATTTGAATACATTTTTCCTGTTGTTTTTGTTTGATTCTGAAGTACTTTTTAATACCCAGATCAGAATTATTATAAAAAAATCCTCTATATTTATCAAAACAAATTTTTATTTTCCAATTTGACTGTGAAAGTGTGGTTTGTAATAATCCTAAATACAAAGATCTACTTAAAAAATACATTTTTTCAAAAATAATAAGCGTATCTATAAAAACTTGTGATTACAAAAAAGTCTGTAGTTACACTTTACAGTACTTACTAAATTCTTTTATTTTATACATCTCATTGTTGTGTAGTGCTAATATTTAATTTTCTACATCAAAGTGTAGTAGCTGTGTGGCTTAATGGATCTTTTAGTATGCAATATATCACTTAATGTTTCACCCAGTTTATTGCCAAGATTAGTTTTATTTAGATTTACACTACTAAAAACTCTTCCCATACATGCACTGCTGTGGAGTAAAATAAGTAATGACTTAACAAACTTGCCTAATTCGCGAAACATCTCAGAATCGTATCGTCTTTTTAGTAGACACACTGTTTTCCAGAAGTCTGTAGAATCCATGGTAAAATAAAGTCTATACTCTCGATCTAATGCATTTAAATCAGAAACTACGTATGGAAATTATTTTCCTACATTTCCAATGCTCTCAATAGTAAAAATATTTGGTGGTTGTAATAATTGTAATAGTTTTAATATTCCTACTTCCCTGGTATTAAAAGGATCCCTTGTAGATAATTGGTCGACTACTCTATGAAAAAGTCTAAACTTTTTAATCTGAAAGATGTTTTTTGCTCTTCGGTATTTAGATA